TAAACCAAACACTGGTTAAGTTTAGTCGTGGTAGATCTCTTTATTTGCTACACTTCCACGCACTTTCTGGCTAGCTAAGGCCGTAAAAGGTGCCCGTGTGTGGAGGCTGAGTCCGGGGCAGTGTAATGGCAGCTGACCTCTCGCTAACTTCAATAAGCTAACTCACTCATTAGCTCCCAGCCGCGCTCCCCAAGTCTTCCCACGCCCGACATACCTCTACAAAAGCGGTCACAGGTCCGCGCTGGTGTCGCCGATTCAAGCCCCCGCACATCCACCGCATTCAGCCACTTTCCCTGCGCCTGTCGCGGTGAAAACCTTTGCCAAAGCCCGATCCGAGGCTAGCTTCGGTTAGCTCCAGTGGCCACCATCTTTCCGCCAGAAAACAAGTCTCTCAAAGCTGTTCACGGCTCATTTTGGCAACAATAAAGCCTCGAACCGGTGTTAGAATCCATGAGCGGTCATTTGGGCCCGTGAGCGCGGGGGATGCGGCGGCTGGGAAGGGGTTTAGTGGCAGAAAGTCAAAGTTTGTGGTGGTTTTTGCTCCTAAAGTCTCGGAGAGTTGAGAGTAGTGCTTCGCCCCGCTGCCCGATCTGCTTCTAAAGTTGTATGCGCATGCGCGTGGCCGGTCGCCATCTTGTCTACGGTAAGATATCTGTGGACAAACTATGGGACAAACGTGGTGGAAAGTTAGTTTGGTTTAATGTGATATCCTAACGCCTTTACGGGTGCAATTAACGTTTTTTCCCCCTGTGGTCCTCAGAGTCCCCGTAGGAGGCCAGTCCCTGTGCTCGTCAGAGTCTGAGTTGGTTCATCTGTCTCTGATGTACTTTGGTGCTAAACCATGGACAGACTAATACACAAGCAGAGCTGCTTTAAAGTCTATTCTCTGAGGCACAGGAAGCCAGTGCAGAGACCTGAGACCAGAACTAATGTGATCGTAGTTGTCAAAGTGGCAACAGATAATAGTGATTTGTTTTTTTTAAAAGAGCCACCTTCCCACTAATGAAAAGCACACTTTGTCATCCCAAAAACCCTGGGTTGTCTGTTCTTTACTCACTGAGGACATGGGATGGTGTCAGAACAACTCAGCATTTAACCTTCCTTGCAACCTCGTCTTTTCCCGAGGCGTTTTCAGTGTATTGCTCCACGTGGAAGAGAAACTTGTCCATTTAGAATGTTATTCTCTCTGGACAAACTGCATGTGTTATTTATTAACCACACTATAGTTAGGTCCCCCACTTTTAACTAAACACACTTTGTGTGTGTGTGTGTGTGAGTCTGGTGTGGACTTGTGCTGACTCAGCTGAACCTTGTGAAATAACAAACAGAAAATGCTTTTGTTAAAACTCCCACACACATATGACTCAGAGTCTGCAAAACTCTGCTCCTGTAAAAAAGGAACAGGATTTGGAACAAGCACAATTTAACTTATCGAATGTTGGCCCTTTGCGTTTCCCCAGAGTTTCCAGCCCATATTCTGCATGTCTCTATATATTATATACAGTCCTATATATATATATATGCAATATATTATATAATATATGCAATATATTATATAATATATGCAATATATTATATAATATAATATATATATATAATATATATATATCCATAGGTGGTGTGCGAAAGGTGTGTTTTTTTAATTACTTTGTTTGTGCTGTCAGTTAAATATATCATATAGGAGAAAAACACAGTGTATTTTAAAGCTTGTATCATTTACAGAATGTGCAATAATTATTTAAACCTAATTAGGCATGTGCATATAATTTGGCACACTTTAAAATGTTATTGATTGAAACACCTTTAGCACCAGTTATTGAAACCCAAATTGGTTTTATAACCTCAATGACCCTTGACCTCCATGTTGGCAACATGGTAACCACAAGATCCTGGGTTCGAATCCCGGTCGGAACAGGGCCATTCTGAGTGGAGTTTGCATGTACAATAGGTCTGGCATGCGCCTCCTGTATGGGGACCCCGCTTCCATCTCTGTGTGGAGTGAGAGACAAATGATCACAATTGTAAACCGCTTTGTGACTGGTCTGTGAAAGGCAGTATATAAATAAAGATTACTTACTTACAAAAAAACTCTCAAAGGACTTGGAAAACTCATGGTTTAGAGGAGGGATACAAAAAGCTATCATAGAGATTAAAGTTTCAACTGTGAAGAACATTGTGAGGAAATGGAAGACCACAGGCACAGTTAAGGCCAAGAAAAAATCTTGGATAAGTAGAGGCGCAGGATGGTGAGAAGAGTCAGAGTCACAGACCACAGACCAGCTCCACAGACCTACAACATCACAGCTGCAGATGCTGTCACTGAGCATCACTGACTAATCAGCACACTGTGCACGAGGAGTTGCAGTATGGAAGGGTGGAAAAAAGTATTTTCTCTGCACACGCCACAAACAGTGCCGCCTGAGGTATGCTAAAGCACATTTGGACAAGCCAGCTTAATTTTGGAATAAGGTGGTGTAGACTCATTAAAGTAAAATCGAGTTATTTGGGAAAAACAAAGGATGTTCGGCGTGGAGGAAAAGGAATACAGCATTCCCAGAAAAAAACACTTGCTCCCTACAGAACAAGTTGGTGTTGGTTCCATCGTGCTGGGGGGCTGTGTGTTCAGTGTAGGCTCTTGGAATCTTGATATAGTTGAGGGGCGCATACTCACTGTCAGCAGATTCTGGAGAACAATGTCCAGGAATCATACAAAGTTGAAGTTGTGCAAGGAAAACCTGCCAACTGAAGTACAAATGATGGGTGAGCAACCTTTCTTAGTTTTTGCCAGACCCGATTTATAGGAAAAGCATGTGCCACACACTTAGTTTGTGCCATGGTAGTGGCTTTAGCACCACCATGTGGAGTAGCTGAACAATGCAATCCAAAGTGTCATTGACTGTCTGCTAAAGCGTGTTTGTGTACGTGTTTGTGTGTTCGAGTGTGCGTGTGTGTGCCTGTGTACGTCTGCCTGTGCGTGTGCCTGTGCATGCACAAATGTAAAACTGAAGCATTATTGTGCCTTTGATATCTTTTAAATATATTTGTTGTAATGACACGCAGATTATTATTTTACAAAATATAGAACATGGGAAAATGTATTTAATTAAAGGAGCATTATATAAAAATCTGGCCAAAAGCGGTACTGCAGTAGTCACAGTCAATATGTCGTAGTCCTCTCCCACTCTCCCTGACTCAGGTTGCCAGATACACACCAAATCCAGCAGCAAACACAAGGAATTATTTAATGAGTTGTTTGTCTGTCTCCATTCACATTGCCATGAGCCGTGCTAATGTTGAATGAATGTTTTTAATGAATGATTTTTTTTTTTTACTTTTTATTTGGACATTTGAGATGAGAAAAACAAAATAAAAACAATGTAATTATACATTGATCATGCAAAATAAATAAGCAATTGGAGGGTTGGACATTGAAATGAAACTTTTGCGGGTCGTAAAACAAATTTTGATATTTAAATTTATTATATGACTTAGATTGGCTGATTACCGGTCTGATATTTTCCCATCTCGGACCGTTACCACGACAATCTGTCCGCAGCGCGTATCACACAAAACCAAGTCGGACATGAACATACTTCACAAATATCTCAAAAGCATTGGTAAAGACACAGACGAGAGTCATATAATAAAACATTTATTAACCTTGCTTGCTCGGTTCGTAGAGAGAAATATCAGACCTTGGCCTTTTTGCACAGACCTCACCACGGCTCGGTCTGTACATTAAGGCCGCGTCTGATATTTCTGCATACAGACCTCGCGCTCGGTTAATAAGCCGTTAATCTCGGCTGAACTACTGTTATCAGTTAAAGATGTATTCGAAAAGAGCATGATTTAATAATGCCTTTTGAAATATTGGGGCCATTTAATAATGACTTGACATGCAAATATTAGATATTGCTACATTAAGTCTCAAAGTGAACCAAGCAGCCAAACTATCATTAACTGAGAAAGTGGTAACATGGAAATATTAACCAGAACAGGACCCAGGACTGACCCCTGTGGCATGAAAAGGGAGGACTAGTCTTTGTAAGATAGATAGAGAGATACTTTATTGATCCCTGTTGGAGAAATACAGGTGTCATTTCCAGTGCATTCAAAACTAAGTGTTTTCTAACCTCCTAAACTCACGACTGCTGAAGTGCGATCACAGATAGGTAACCTCCTGTAATGCCACCAGGGCCTCTGTCTGGAGCAGTGGTCGCCGTAGTAACAGGGGGCCATCTCCAGATTTTGAAGCTCCTCAGGACCAGAGCTGGAGGATTATACCTATTGTACATGTTTTTACCGGTATGGGGAAACCAGAGCCCCCAGGCCAGACAACAGAGAGAGACCAGAGTGAGACCAGAGAGAGATACCAAAAATAAAGAGAGGGTGATCAGAGAGAAACCAGAGAGAGACAAAGTTTCCCTCTGACTTTGAATAAAGTTTACCATCAAGTTATTCTGCACAAACGGCGCACAAGAAGCCCAACAACAATAATAACAACAATGTACATAAAGTATCTTTTACACGTCGTGCATTTGAGAGTGGACGTCCTTCTCTGATTTGCAGCAGGTGATTTGCCGAAGCGGTGATACATAAAAGAGCGGTCCGATGTAGAAGCCGAAGTTTGGAAATGCCAACAGGAACGTCAGCACTGTACAGCGGTCTGTTGTAAAACTGTAGTCGTGTGTGGTGAAGATGACGGAGAGATAACAGATTATGGCCACTAGGGGGACGTAGGCAATGACAGCCGGCACAATCACTATCATAATATTCAGGAGTGCACGTTTTTTTTTAGCAAATCACTACTGCTGTTAGCACCCTCTCCTGGTCCGCTCTGGCATAGCACCCGGCCTATTCCAACCAAGCAAATAAGCATTATCAGAAAGAAGACGAAGATAACAGCAGTCAAGGACAAGATGGTCACCATAGGTTTTGTAGAAGTACAGCAGAAAGGCCACAAACACTGTCGCGGCCCACGTGACGCCGCTTAAAACAACTCAGGGTTTGGTTTTGCTGAGTTGTATGTACATGATGGGGAACGCAGCAGCTACGAAGCGCTCTAAGCACATTAGCATCAGAAACAAAGGACATCCGAGCATGTTTAGAGCCGAGGTCGAGTTGCTGAGGCGGTGAAAAGCTTCGGAAGTCTCACGCAGTGTGTCGTAAAGTTCAAAAGGAAGAAGCAGGCTGTACGCAATGCCCACGATGGAGATGTTCAGGGCCAAGAGCTGAGTCGGGGAGAGGTTGTGTCTTGATTTGAACACCAGCCACAGGAGAGCGATGTTGGCCGGGAGAGCAGTGAACAAAATGAAGATTTGGAGTCCGAGCCAGACCACGTAACTACGAGGAGTTCCGCAGCATTTGAGGATTATCTCTGCGTCAAAACTGATGATGTCCTGCTGCTCAAATTCTAATTTGAGGGGATAGGCGGTGTAATGGAAGAAGTAGTAGTCATAGTCGTCATAGGGGGTGGTGTAGAGGTTGTAGTAGTGGGTGTAGTTGGGATTGTAGAATGGAGAAGAAAATGGTGTGGGGGGTGAGGGGAAGTTCTGCATTTTGTTGCCTGAAAAACGAAAAAGATGATAAAAACTTATCCGTACAAGATATGTATTTTGGAGTTAATTTATTATTATTAATTCATTTTTATTTTTTTAAGGGGCATTCACACTGCCGATGCGTCAACGCAGCGTCCATGTGCACTGGACACACTTTCACTAAATTTCAGCCGCGTGAAATATGAAGTACTGCCCTGCGATGCTACAAAACGCAGGCCGGAAGTGGAGGATGGGCTTTGATGCTAATGAGTATAAGCTAGCGGCTTTTTGTGTAAACACAAGCAGTATTGGTCAGTAACGTGATAACATGTTGCTGTTATCTAATTACTTTTTCTGAGTAACAAGTAAAGCAAGGTATTACATCTGTAAAAAAGTGTTATGTAATTACATTGACTTTCTTTTAAGCAACCAGCACAATGCGGTAGAAAACCGTGAATAACTTGGTTGTGACATTTGTTGTCTCTTCCTGAGTGACAAAATAATGACGTATGCACATTGTAGAAGAGATGCTGCTACTCTCACTGTCTTTCAAAAACAATATGTTCAAACTATCTGGAGAAGTGCTACAGCAGGAAGTGTCCTGGCTACTTTCATTGTTTACTTTCATGTAAAATTATTTGAACCTATTTGTAGTTGACTGAATGCATCAAGGATACGGTACCAGATACTAAAGTTTAAAAGAGAGTAGAGTAGAGTAGAGTACTACTAACAACCTACTAACAATAACAACTAGTATCCAGGGAAATTCCTTGGTAACCATGTCTTCCAGCAGCACTCTGTTCCAAAACCTGTCAGAACACTTTAGTGTTCAATGACCAGAATCAGAACATGACCAAACTAGAACCAGAATCAGGACCCGACTAGAGTAAGGCACTAGTCACATGGATTTTATTACAAAGATCTGTTAAGTTACGTACCTCAGATTTAAAGAGACAGTTTTAAACTGCGTACCTTCAGTGTCAGTCTGCGCTGTGCTCCTTTCAGAGTGTTACATTAACATTGTCATTTTCATATTAGGTATTTGCATCCAAGTGAAACAGCCTGAAGCCTCCAACAACAAAGAGCCTCTGTGATGAGAGGGACCAGAGAGAAACCAGAGAGAGGGACCAGGAAGATACCAGAGAGAGAAACGGGGAGAGACCAGAGAGAGAGAAATCAGCGAGAAGATCATCGAGAAATCAGCGAGAAGATCATTGAGCGATCAGCGAGAGATCAGCGAGAGACCAGCAAGAGAGCAGCAAGAGACTAGAAAGAGCCACAAAAGCTTCCCTTTGACTACACACAACGCACTACGCACGCAAGCCCAACAACGATTGTAGATGAAGTATCAATTAGCTTTTACATGTCATACATTTGAGAGCGGACGTCCTCGTCCGATGCGCAGCAACATAAAAGAGCGGTCCGATGTAGAAGCCAGAGTTTGGAAAGGCCAAAAGTAACGTTTAGCACGTCACTGCTGCTCTTAGCTCCTTCTCCTGGTCCGCTCTGGCATAGAAAAATCCCACCAACAGATTAAACATTATCAGAAAGAAGACAGAGATAACCGCAGCCAAAACAAGATGGTCATCATTGCGTCGTAGAAGTACTGCAGAAAGGCCACAAACACTGTAGTGCTCCTTGTAAAGCCGCTTAAAATAATAAAGGGTTTGATTTTGTTAAGTCGTAGGTACGTGATGGGGAACGCAGCGGCCACAAAGCGCTCTAAGCACATCAACATCAGAAACAAAGGACATCCGAACATGTTTAGAAGGAAGAAGCAGGCAGTATACATGTCCACAAAGAAGATGTTCAGGGCCAAGAGCTGAGGCGGGGAGAGGTTGTGTCTTGATTTGAACCTCAGCCACTGTTGGCCGGGAGAGCAGTGATCGAGATGAAGATTTGCAGTCCGAGCAAGATCATGGAACTGCCGCTCACTTTCCAAATCGCAGCCCTTTGACAGTGCAAGGGTCATTTTAATGCCACTAAGATAGTTTTGGTTGTTAAAGCTAAAATATCTTATAAACCTGGTTTAAATGATGTTATTATTTGTGGTTTCTGGAGGAGGTTCCCATGTGTGGGACAAGAGGAAGGCTCCTTTGTCTCGGTTGATGCTGCTGTTAATTCAGGTTTACCGTCATCATGTCATGAAACAGACACTGGGACAGTGGGTGAATAGCAATGAAAAGACTACAGCTAAAGTCATAAAGTCCACAGGAGTGTAGAATAAAACAACAACAGCAGTAAACAAATGAGCTAACTGCTTTTGTGAGCCCCGTGGGTGTGAAATGTTGTTGTGAAAACTAACATTATATTTCTAAATAGTCTATTGCTACATTTAATTGTCTGTATCCATTCATTACTCTATTGTATACTATAAATCTATGTGGAAAAAATATTTCTCACTGTTCTCTGGTCAAATATTTATATTTGATTAGTTTTGATTGATTAATTAAAAAGCCTCTAAACAATTAGATTTTTTTTTTTAATCAAGTCCCGTCCCGAGTAAGAGAACAAAAGCCCTGTTTCCCCCCCACCTACTCGCCACTCTACCGGTAAGGGTTCTAACTCTCTCTCTTTCTGGTCTCTCTGATACCATGGATAGATAATTAAGTATTTTGGCCAGAACAGCAGCAAGTGATTTTCCAAAGTGTTGACAAGTAAAAGAGCGGTTCGATGTAGAAGCCTAAGTTGGTAAACACCAGCGCGAGCCACATAAAGTCACTCCAATAAAACTGTTCGATTCCTGTGGTACATATGAATCCGAGATAACTGAACATTAGGGGGACGTAGGCAATGACTGTTGGCACTATCACTATTACAATATTCACAAGAGCACGTTTTTTTAACAAATCACTGCTGCTGTTAGCTCCCTCTCCTGGTCCGCTCTGGCGTAGCACCCAGACTATTCCAAACAAGCAAATAAGCATTATCAGAAAGAAGACTAAATAAAATACACCTATGCTTACAAACAAAATTTTAAACTCATGGTGAAAGGTCAGCATAAAGGTCAGAAACACTGTAATGATCCATGTGACGGCGCTTAAAACAATTCGGGGTTTGGTCTTGTTGAGATGTAAGTACGTCATCGGGAACGCAACGGCTACGAAACGCTCCAAGCACATCAGCGTCAGAAACATAGGACATCCAAACACCTTTAAGACCATCATGTAGGGCCAGACAGAATAAAAAGCTTTGTAATTCATATGCAGCCAGAAGTAAAGTTTAAAAGGTAGAAACAGACAGATCACGATGCAGACGATGGAGATGTTCAGGGTCAAGAGCTGAGGCGGGGACAGGTTGTGTCTGGATTTGAACATCAGCCACAGGAGGGCGCTGTTGGCCGGGAGAGCAGTGATCAGGATGAAGATGTCAAAGCTGATCAAGATGATATAGTCGTAGCTGATGCTGTAGTTGTAGCTGGTGCTGTGGTTGTTGCTGGTGCTGTGGTTGTAGCTGGTGCTGTGGTTGTTGCTGGTGCTGTGGTTGTTGCTGGTGCTGTGGTTGTTGCTGGTGCTGTGGTCGTAGATGTCGACAGTCGATGGTTCGGTGGATGAGTTGGATGTGGGGAAGTTTCTGATGTTCTTCATTGTGCCTGAAAAACCAAAGACATTATAGATCAGGGATGTGAAACTCATTTTTGGTCCGGGGGCCAAATACTGTATAACCTAATTGGATCTCAACTGGGCTCTACAAAAATACCCAAAAACGGTACAAAGTCCAACTTTTTGTGCACTTGAACACATTTATTTAAAACTTCCTTTAAAACACTGTCCTTTAATACTCACTCAGTTTTAACTGTAAATCTGTTACAAACTTAAATGTAACAGTGAGTTTTTCATAGTGCAAATAATGTAATGTATTTACAATATTACATTGTAAATGGCATTTCACAATATTTATATTAATATTTGTATGTTGGCTTTGTTTTAAGGATCATTACGGAAAGAAAACTTGCTCACAAAGGTAAAGTAGGTAGATAGAAAAAGCACTTTAACACAGCACCTCAGCTTAACCATCTTCAGTGTGGTAAGGTCCATGGTTATGTTATTATCACAGAGAAAGCATCAAACTGACCATGATTCAGTTGAAATGAACAAAACAACTTCCACTGCAGCAGTGTCTCTGTGTAAAATACAGTCAAATGTCCAAGAATATATTACCTCCATTTGCGGCTTTGTCACAAAGGTCCGTGTACCTTCTGTTCATTCTATTTTTGTTTCTGACGCGCACATCAAAAAACAAACTCTTTTTCTTATTTCCAATGTTGAAAAAAGAAATTGAAAAACCCCTTTCCTTCAAATAGTTACATTTTTACGACCTAAAACTTGGTTTGGGGTGAAAGGCCTCGGATTTCATTCATCTGGTTTGCAACATTCAATTTTAGGGTTTTCAGTTTGGTGGCCCCGAAAGTAATTGGTATTTCCGCCCTGAGCTCCCACAGTCGGGAGAACTGGGACATGGGAGAGGAACCGGGCGGCCCAGAACAGACATGGGGCCTGGGCCGTTGTTCTGTCGAGACGGCCTCCCCCGTCGAAACATATTATCTAGTGCATCTGCGCATGCGTCTAAGTAGGTTTACCAAGAGCATCGGATTTTGCATCTCCAGCTTCACGTGAGTAGTTTTATTTACGATTAAGATTACACTCGTGTACTTTGTTATGTTTGCTGAACACTATGGCACTAGACATTACAGTGATGTAGTACTAGTTCAAATTCACGTGAAGATGTGGACAATAATGTAAATATACGTCTTAAGTTGGCGTCGGGACTATTGCACAATTGTGCAGTAAGATAATAAAGATGTAGTATGCACATATATAATAAAACATTCTAAGCTACTCGCTTTTCCTTTTTAAAAGATCAAAATACTGGCTCATAAAGTGGGGATGACGTGTTCTCTTTCGGCGGGTGGGGAGGCAAATTTCGACAAGGAGTGCACGCCACGTATTCAGTACATTAAACTAATATGCTACCTTTTATTAAATCTAATAAATCATAAATATGTTGACATGTTTATTAAGTAAACATTCATAATGACTAAGCTATGGAAAGTTGCTTTCGGCGGGTGGGGATGCACATTTCAACAAAGGGTACAAATCTCGACAGAACACCTCTGCACCTGCAGACTGTGTTCTGTCAAGAAGTGTAATAGAAGAAGTAGTAGTCATAGTCGTCATAGGGGGTGGTGTAGAGGTTGTAGTAGTGGGTGTAGTTGGGATTGTAGAATGGAGAAGAAAATGGTGTGGGGGGTGAGGGGAAGTTCTGCATTTTGTTGCCTGAAAAACGAAAAAGATGATAAAAACTTATCCGTACAAGATATGTATTTTGGAGTTAATTTATTATTATTAATTCATTTTTATTTTTTTAAGGGGCATTCACACTGCCGATGCGTCAACGCAGCGTCCATGTGCACTGGACACACTTTCACTAAATTTCAGCCGCGTGAAATATGAAGTACTGCCCTGCGATGCTACAAAACGCAGGCCGGAAGTGGAGGATGGGCTTTGATGCTAATGAGTATAAGCTAGCGGCTTTTTGTGTAAACACAAGCAGTATTGGTCAGTAACGTGATAACATGTTGCTGTTATCTAATTACTTTTTCTGAGTAACAAGTAAAGCAAGGTATTACATCTGTAAAAAAGTGTTATGTAATTACATTGACTTTCTTTTAAGCAACCAGCACAATGCGGTAGAAAACCGTGAATAACTTGGTTGTGACATTTGTTGTCTCTTCCTGAGTGAAAAAATAATGACGTATGTACATTGTAGAAGAGATGCTGCTACTCTCACTGTCTTTCAAAAACAATATGTTCAAACTATCTGGAGAAGTGCTACAGCAGGAAGTGTCCTGGCTACTTTCATTGTTTACTTTCATGTAAAATTATTTGAACCTATTTGCAGTTGACTGAATGCATCAAGTGACTGTACCCTCTGCCACGCTGCAACAACGCATTCGCCGCGCTGGACAAAGCGGCGTACTGCAACACACATACAACTATGCGCACAGACGCACGTCACCGTTGACTTTGCATTAAAACTGGACGCAACACATGATACTGTGTGAACACCCCTTTAAAGTTTATGATCTTGAGAATATTTAAATTGGAAACGTAGGTTTCAGAGTGTGTCGGTGAATGTGTGTGTGTCTCTGTATAAGTGTGCATGCAAAACAGCAAGGCCGCGAAAGGATTTTTATAGAGAAACCACTGTAGCAAAGCTCCATTCCCACCAACCTGTACCGTACTCTACCCTCCTCTACTCTACCCTACCCTACCCTGCCCTACTCTAAGCCTTTCTACCGACCCTGTTTAACTGGTTCCAGGTCCTTCCTTAGTCCCTCTTGGCCCTGATTCTATCTTGGCCGAGCTGGTACTAACGTGTTCTGACAGGTTTTGGAACAAAGTGCTGCTGGAAACCATGGTTACCAAGGAATTTTCCTGGATACTAGTTGTTATTGTTAGTAGGTTGCAAGGATACGGTACCAGATACTGAAGTTTAAAAGTGAGTAGAGTAGAGTAGAGTAGAGTCTCACCATCTGTAACCTCCACTTTGAACTCTTGGTAATTCATTCGGTTTGAGCCTTCCCAGAGGCAGCCGTATTGGCCCGAGTCGTTCGGGGTCAGGTTGGAGATGGTCACAGTGATCGTGTCTTCTGGAGGAGAGCCCTGGATCTGGTGTTTGATGCTGTATCTGCCATGAGTCTGAGGTCCAAGGTCTGACGTCTGCACCAACATGTCCTGCTGACAGTCGCCTCTACAGAACGCCCTCCGGGACACGGTCAGGTTCTCATAAGACCAGCTGCAGAGGACCGACTCTTCTAACCCCTCGGACCATGTATGGAGAACGAGAGCTGTGGTGAGTGGAGCGTCCCAGAACACTGCCAACAGAGAGACACATGTAGAGGCATCTTGGGGTATGGTGAGTGTCTGAGGGTGTCTCACTGATGCAGGATGGAGGATTTGACCTATTGTACAAGAAACCAGAGCACCCAGACATTGGAGATAAACCAGAGTGGGACCAGAGAAAGAGACCAGAGAGACCAGATTGAGAGAGAGAGTGATCCAAGAGTGACCAGAGAAAAACAGACCAGAGAAAGAGACCAGCGAGAAAGATTAGAGAGAGACCAGAGAGAGATCAAAGAGAAACCAGAGAAAGATCAGAGAGAGACCAGAGAGATCAAAGATAAACCAGAGAAAAACCAGAGAGAAATCATAGAAAGACCTGAGACCAACGATAGACCAGAGAGAACACTGCCAACAGAAAGACACACGTAGAGGCATCTTGGGGTATGGTGAGTGTCGGAGGTTGTCTCACCGATGCAGAGCAGCCACAGTCGGGATAATCCCATGATGCACTGTCCTCTCAGAGAAATGGACGTTCTCTACATGAAACAAGAGAAACTCTATACAATGAACATTAGACTGTATATAAATGAACAATGCAAACCTGCTAGCTCAGTAAAGCCCGATAGGGAGAGCTGGTTTGAGAGAGAAGGAGAATCACCAAAGTCAGCCCTGAAGAAGCGCCTTGATTGGTAGCAAAACAATGACCAGAATCAGAACATGACCAAACTAGAACCAGAACCACAAGGCCCAGGACCAGACTTAGACCAAGACATTTTAGAGTAAGGCACTAGTGACATGGATTTTACTACAGAGATCTGTTAAGTTACGTACCCCAGATTTAAAGAGACAGTTTTAAACTGCGTACCTTCAGTGTCAGTCCGCGGTGTGCTCCTTTCAGAGTGTTACATTAACATTGTCATTTTCATATTAGGTATTTGCATCCAAGTGAAACAGCCTGAAGCCTCCAACAACAAAGAGCCTCTGTGATGAGAGGGAGCAGAGAGAAACAGGAAAGAGGGACCAGTAAGGGACCAGAAAGGGACCAAAAAGGGATGAGAGAGAGACCAGCGGGAAGATCATTGAGAGATCCTCGAGAGACCAGAAAGAGCAACAAAAGCTTCCCTTTGACTCAGGGATGCTACACACAACGCAATACGCACGCAAGCCCAGCAACGTTTGTACATGAAGTATCATTTAGCTTTTACTAGGGCTGTCAAAATTATCGCGTTAACGCAAGTTAATTAATTTTAGTCATTAATCGCGTTAAAAAAATTAATGCATTCGACGCATGCCCACGCGTCCCATAGTAACACTCAGAATGCCGCGGACACATGCGTGTGTAAGATGGGGACAGAGCAGGTAGGCCCTCTGGGACTTCAAGTTTTGAAAGAATACACGCGTGACCCTTGTTGTTTCCTGTATGAACTCTGCATGATGAGCTGCGGGCCCGACAGCGCTCTGGACAGTTCCCACTTCCAGCGGCTGTGATCACGGCGAACGGCGCTGCGTAATGGGATCATATCCAAGACCACGCACAGAACTATTACAGAACTATTCTCTAGTGTGCGTACGTGTCTTTGCGTAACCGATGCACACAATATGTACAGCGCTGAAGCTGGACTGCGGAGCCTCAGTCTCCTCCGTGTCTTCTCCCGAAGCACACTCGCTAAATTAAAGCTGAGGTACCTAATTTTCCTTTCGACCATCAGTTCATGTTAGTTGTGCCAAAAAAAGTAATGGTGTGAGCAAATCAAACAGATTTAATGACATTCTGCATTTCAGACTATTTGAAATATCCCTCATCTGTAACAAACAATGGTTTTGGTCTGAGTCTAAACAGAAAGACAGAATGTTAATAATGTTAATTCCATTTTATATGGATTTATTGTTATAACAAACAAATACAGTACATATGTTCACTAAGCTGTCATTTATCTTTCCATTCAAACAACAATTTACAGAAAAATATGGCATAATTTTGCCAATAGTTTGAAATGTGATTAATTACAATTAATTAATTTTTAAGCTGTAATTAACTCGATTAAAAAAATTAATCGTTTGACAGCCCTAGCTTTTACATGTCTTAACATGTCAGTTGAGAGCGGACGCGTTCCTCTGATGTGCAGCAGGTGATTTCCCGAAGAAATAAAAGAGCGGTCTGATGTAGAAGCCAAAGTTTGGAAGCGCCAACAGGAACTTTTAGCGTACTACTGCTGTTGGCTCTTCTCCTGGTCTACTCTATGATAGAACCTAGAATAATCCCACCAACAAATAAAACATTATCAGAAAGAAGACAGAGATAACCGCAGCCAAAACAAGATGGTCATCATTGCGTCGTAGAAGTACTGCAGAAAGGCCACAAACACTGTAGTGCTCCTTGTAAAGCCGCTTAAAATAATTAAGGGTTTGATTTTGTTAAGTCGTAGGTACGTGATGGGGAACGTGTCAGGGGGTGCAAAATGGGTGGTGGGTTTTAATATGGTTTTATTCATATTTTATGCATGTTGTGTTTGTGTGTTTTTAATATTGATTTTAACTGGCACCACCTGAAGCACCCCGGCTCCCCACGTGAGCAATCAAGACACCTGCGCCTTGGGAATAAAAGACTGAGACGGGGAGGGGGAGAGAGACTGAACGAGACGGAGAGAGAGAGAGCCCCGTGGTCTGGCGGCCCAGGCCGTGGGGACGCGTTTTAGCCTGTTTTAGCTTTTTACTCCCTTTTTTTTTAGCTTAGGGTTTCATTGCTTTTATTTACTTGTTTTTAATGTATTTTGTAATAAATTGCTTTTAATTCGCTTTTAATCCAGTGGTCCCTTTTTAAATCCGGGTCCGAAGAACCTGTTTTTACACATGTGACAAACGCAGCGGCCACAAAGCGCTCTAAGCACATCAACATCAGAAACAAAGGACATCCGAACATGTTTAGAAGGAAGAAGCAGGCAGTATACATGTCCACAATGAAGATGTTCAGGGCCAAGAGCTGAGGCGGGGAGAGGTTGTGTCTTGATTTGAACCTCAGCCACTGTTGGCTGGGAGAGCAGTGATCGAGATGAAGATTTGCAGTCCGAGCCAGATCATGGAACTGCGAGGATCAATACTGATGATGTCCTGCCGCTCACTTTCCAAATCGCAGCCCTTTGACAGTGCAAGGGTCATTTTAATGCCACTAAGATAGTTTTGGTTGTTAAAGCTAAAATATCTTATAAACCTGGTTTAAATGATATTAGTTGTGGTTTCTGGAGGAGGTTCCCATGTGTGGGACAAGAGGAAGGCTCCTTTGTCTCGGTTGATGCTGCTGTTAATTCAGGTTTACCGTCATCATGTCATGAAACAGACACTGGGACAGTGGGTGAATAGCAATGAAAAGACTACGGCTAAAGTCATAAAGTCCACAGGAGTGTAGAATAAAACAACAGCAGTAAACAAATGAGCTAACTGCTTTTGTGAGCCCCGTGGGTGTGAAATGTTGTGAAAACTAACATTATATTTCTAGATATGCTATTGCTACACTTTCTGTATCCATTCATTACTCTATTGTATACTATAAATCTATGTGGAAAAAATATTTCTCACTGTTCTCTGGTCAAATATTTATATTTGATTAGTTTTGATTGATTAATTAAAAATCCTCTGAACAATTAGATTTTTTTTTTTTATAGAGTCCCGGTCCTAGTAAGAGAACTGTGGAAGATTCAGCACACAGAGACGGGATCGTGGCGCACCACAGCTGTCTGGGAGTTTATTCAGTTTCCTCAGTTTCCTCAGAAGTACAGATGATGGGTGAGAAACCTTCCTTTGCTCAGGCTTCAGTTGTTTCAGTTTTTTCAGACAGAACAAAGTCAGGACATGGTTTATATAGTTATTCGTTACGTCACACATAGAAAGACATACGTGTCTCATCAAGAGACAATCAGAACATTTTAGAGTCATAACATGGATACACAATGGAGTCCTTGTGACTGTGAGGGCCAGATATTTTTTCTTGCGTTTGTCCACCTGCGTAGGCCATAGCCATCTATCCACCATAGAACAAAAGCCCTGTTTCCACCCCACCTACTCTACTCTACCGGTAAGCGTTCTAACTCTCTCTGATACCATGGATGGATAAAGTATTTTGGCCAAAACAGCAGCAAGTGATTTTCCGAAGTGTTGACAAGTGAAAGAGCGGTCCAATGTAGAAGCCTAAGTTGGTGACCACCAGCGCAAACCACAACTCTTTGCCCCAGTCTTCCCAATAATTGTGAATTCCTGTGGTACATATGATTGCGACATAAATGGCCATTAGGGGGACGTAGGCAATGCCTGTTGGCACTATCACTATTATAACATTCACAAGAGCACGTTTTATTAACAAATCACTGCTGCTGTTAGCTCCCTCTCCTGGTCTGCTCTGGCGTAGCACCCTGACGATTCCAAACAAGCAACTAAGCATTATCAGAAAGAAGACAGAACAAAATACATCTACGAATACAGACATGGTGTCTGAAGACTCAACGTAAAAGTTGCGCTTAAAGGTGAGATGTAAGTACGTCATCGGGAACGCAACGGCTACGAAATGCTCCAAGCACATCAGTGTCAGAAACAAAGGACATCCAAACATATTTAAGGCCAACATGTGGTACCGGAAAAAAATGAAAAGCTTTGTAAGTCTCATGCAGCCTGAAATAAAGTTCAAAAGGTAGAAACAGACAGTACACGATGCAGAAAATGGAGATGTTCAGGGCCAAGAGCTGAGGCGGGGAGAGGTTGTGTCTGGATTTGAGCATCAGCCACAGGAGGGCGCTGTTGGCCGGGAGAGCAGTGATCAGGATGAAGACTCTGAGTAAGCCCGATGCTGAGAATGGTGATGTCGTCCTTGTTGTAGCTGGTGCTGTGGTTGTAGCTGGTGCTGTGGTCGTTGCTGGTGCTGTGGTTGTTGCTGGTGCTGTGGTTGTTGCTGGTGCTGTGGTTGTTGCTGGTGCTGTGGTTGTAGCTGGTGCTGTGGTTGTAGCTGGTTATTATGTACAGTCTATGGTCGAAAGTCGGTGGTGTGGTGGATGAGTTGGATGTGGAGAAGTTGCTGATGTTCTGCATTGTGCCTGAATAACCAAAGACATTTTAGAATATTGTCTTGACAAACCAGGATTTTTTGGGAGTTTTAATCAGAATCAGAATCAGAATAATTTTTATTGCCACGTAGGTAACAGGAAGTTACAGACTTGGAAAGTGCTTTGGCTCAGTGCAACAGAGATAATCAAAAAATAAAGAATAAAAACACTTAGGAATAAATTTAAATTTAAAATAGAGTTACAGTTACTATTTACAATATACAAGTGCACATGGTGCACACAATGTAAGGTGACAGCAGTACAGTGAAGTAAAGTGACGTATGATGGGCAGTAAAGTGACTTTATAAAGGGCGGGGGGACAGGTTAAGAAGTGTTCAAGAGTCCAGCAGCAGAGGGGAAGAAACTGTTCTTGTGGCGGGAGGTTCTAGTCCTGATGGACCGCAGTCTCCTGCCTGAGGGGACTGGTTGGACTAGTCCATGTGCAGGGTGAGAGGGGTCGGCTGTGATACGACCAGCCCGGCCTTGAGCTGGGGCGACGTACAGGTCCTGCAGCGATGGAAGGCTGCGGCCTTCTTGATGAGGGAGCTGATGGTCGGCTCCCACTTGAGGTCCTGGGTGATGGTGGTGCCCAGGAAACGATAGGACTCCACAGAGGTGATGGGGGAGTCCATCATGGAGGGTGGGGGCGGGGGGACAGTGCTCTTCCTGAAGTCCACAATCATCTCCACTGTCTTCTGGGCGTTCAGCTCCAGGTTGTTACCACTGCACCAGGACACCAGCCGGTCCACCTCCCTCTTGTAGGCGGACTCAACGTTGTTGGAGATGAGTCCAATGAGGGTGGTGTCGTCCGCGAATGTGATCAGCTTCACGGAGTCGTGGCTGGAGGTGCAGTGGTTGGTGCACAGGGAGAAGAGCAGGGGAGAAAGAACACAGCCCTGTGGGGCTCCTGTATTTATAATCCGAGAGTCCGAGACATTCTTCCCCAGACGCACTTGCTGCTTCCTGTCCGTCAGGAAGTCAGTGATCCACCTGCAAGTGGAATCGGGCACGTTGAGCTGGGAGAGCTTATCCTGGAGCAGGGATGGCAGGATCGTGTTGAAGGCAGAGCTGAAGTCCACGAACAGGACCCTGGCGTAGGTCCCCGGGGAGTCAGGGACTGTAGGATGTGGTGGAGGGCCAGGTTAATGGCGTCGTCTACAGATCTGTTGGCTCTGTAGGCGAACTGCAGGGGGTCCAGGAGGGGGGAGGTGAAGGACTTGAGATGGGAGAGGACCAGGCGTTCAAATGACTTCATGACGACAGACGTAAGTGCTACAGGTCTGTAGTCATTGAGTCCTGTGATCCTGGGCTTCTTCCGGACGGGGACAATGATGGAGGATTTGAAGCAGGCCGGGACATGGCAGGACTGCAGAGAGGAGTTGAAAATGTCAGTGAACACAGGAGTAAGCTCACTGGCGCAGTGTCTCAGAGTGGCCGGAGACACGTGGTCCGGGCCAGGAGCTTTGCGGGGGTGCAGCCTCAAGAAGAGTTGTTTAATCTCTTTAGCGGCTATTGTTAGGCTGGGGGCAGGGCTGATGGGTGGGTCGTTAGAGTAGTGGGGGGAGGGGGAGGAGTCAGGGGCAGCATTAAAGCGACTGAAAAATAAGTTCAGTTCGTCAGCTAGCTTGTGGTCGTCAGCACAGGGGGGGGCTTTGGGCTTGTAGTTGGTGATCTCCCGTAGGCCCCTCCAGACAGAAGCAGTATCATTGTTACCCAACTGCTCCTGTAGTCGTTCTCTGTGCCGGGACTTGGCTGCTTTCAGTTCTTTCCTGAACTGATATTTAGCTGCTTTGTAGCCGCTGCGGTCCCCCTCCCTGAAAGCAGACTCCTTTGCTTTCCTGAGCTGCCGGAGTTCAGCAGTGAACCAGGGTTTGTCGTTGTTATAGATGACCCTGGTCCTTGTTGGAATGATGCTATCCTCACAGAAGTGAATGTATGACGTCACAGTGTCCTATCTGTGGCAGCTCTGAAAAGGTCCCAGTCTGTAGATTCCATGCATGCGCGCAGCTCTTCTACAGCTTCATCAGACCACACTTTGGAGCTTTAAGCCCAATTTCCACCAATTCTGCACTACTTTACTCTACTTGGTTTTGTTTCCATTAACCGTGTCCTAGCAAGCTACCCACAACAACCAGACCAGAGCGAGACACCAGAGCGAGACACCAGAGAGAGACACACCAGAGATTGACAAGTGAAAGTATTCTCTCTTATCAAGTGTATATGAATGCTCCAGATGTCTTGACCATCTGGAGCATTCTTCTCGTGAAAGAACATGGCTAATGCATATGGTTCTGTGCCACAAACGCCTGAGACTCTACTTCCAATATCACCGTTAACCTTCACAATGACAATGGAAATGATTATCACAGCTTCAAAATGGCTGGTTGGAGGACCATGAACCTTTTATGCTTTTGACTTTACTCTTCTGATTTAAATATCATTACAGTAATATTTGGCCTTCGTACACATGCCCATGGTTGTTTTTTCATTAATTTAATCAAGCTTTAGTTAGAGAGCAATCTTTCTCCAATTCGTGACGTCACAATCCCACCTCCAGGAGGTGATTGACAGCGCATGCAGCCTCTCTCCCAAGTCCAACTTAAGGTCCCGTGTCTGCCACATTGAGCCCTGCTGTTTTTCTGCTATTGTCGCCAACTAAAAGTGTTAGCATCATGTCAAACACATTTGGCAAATGCGGCTGGACTTTTGATTCACAGGCCTCTAAAATCTGCAACAAATCTGTTCATCTGCAAGTGACATTTCCCCAAAATCTGTTCCAGAACTATGGTTGCCATGAAACTGAACTTACTCAAAAGCTGATCTTGAAGTCTAGTTTTATTTCTTCAATAAAAGTCGCTAACGAGAAGCCTAGATCTGTAAGTACAGTGCAACTAACTCACCATATACCACTGTTAACTAAATAATTAGGGTCCAATTCCGGATCAAGGAGTTCCTCAATGTGAAGGATTGCCATTGTTGAAAAAGTTTATTCTCGACAGTTTGCTTTAGAAGTAAACAAGTTAGAGAGAGGCTACATTGCCGCGCGGGTGGGGGAGGCGGGCTCTCAGGGTAGAAGCACAAATCCAGCTATTTCAATTCAGGTGACATCCCCTCTATGCAAGAACTGGTTATAATCCAAGCCCCGATGATCCAAGATGGCGCATGGGACTTCATGGAGACCGGGAGATTAGCTGAACTCGCCCATATTTGGGCATTGTCTGGTATTGTACAGTATGTTGTACTGTATGTTGTACTGTATATTGTACAGTATGTTGTACTGTATGTTGACACTGAAATCATTGGGCGGCCTCACGTCATCAGGCTGGGTCGGGCCACATCAACATCACAAGCTAATAGCCAAACAACGCTCCTCCTCCTCTTTGACCTGCTCCTCTCTCTCTTTGACCTGCTTCTCTCTCCTTGACCTGCTCCTCTCCCTCTTTGACCTGCTCCTCTCTCTCTTTGACCTGCTTCTCTCTCTTTGACCTGCTCCTCTCTCTCCTTGACCTGCTCCTCTCTCTCTTTGACCTGCTTCTCTCTCTTTGACCTGCTCCTCTCTCTCCTTGACCTGCTCCTCTCCCTCTTTGACCTGCTCCTCTCCCTCTTTGACCTGCTTCTCTCTCTCTTTGACCTGCTCCTCTCCCTCTTTGACCTGCTCCTCTCTCTCTTTGACCTGCTCCTCTCCCTCTTTGACGTGCTCCTCTCTCTCCTTGACCTGCTCCTCTCTCTCCTTGACCTGCTCCTCTCTCTCTTTGACCTGCTCCTCTCCCTCTTTGACCTGCTCCTCTCTCTCTTTGACCTGCTCTTCTCTCTCCTTGACCTGCTCCTCTCTCTCTTTGACCTGCTCCTCTCTCTCCTTGACCTGCTCCTCTCCTCTCTCTCTTTGACCTGCTCCTCTCCCTCTTTGACCTGCTCCTCTCCCTCTTTGACCTGCTCCTCTCTCTCCTTGACCTGCTCCTCTCCCTCTTTGACCTGCTCCTCTCTCTCTTTGACCTGCTCCTCTCTCTCCTTGACCTGCTCCTCTCTCTCTTTGACCTGCTCCTCTCCCTCTTTGACCTGCTCCTCTCCCTCTTTGACCTGCTCCTCTCTCTCCTTGACCTGCTCCTCTCCCTCTTTGACCTGCTCCTCTCTCTCTTTGACCTGCTCTTCTCTCTCCTTGACCTGCTCCTCTCTCTCCTTGACCTGCTCCTCTCTCTCTTTGACCCTGCTCCTCTCGCTCTTTGACCCTGCTCCTCTCTCTCTTTGACCTGCTCCTCTCTCTCTTTGACCTGCTCCTCTCCCTCTTTGACCTGCTCCTCTCCCTCTTCTGACACAAACTCCTCCACTTCTGCCTTGATCCTCCATTTCTGTTTTCAACCTTCATCAAACTGCACTGACTTATAAAGGTGTGGTGACATCATTTGCAACAGGAGTTCTCAAATCTGAGTCGTGGTGTTTACTGAATGACATCAGGTCTGTTCATTGAGTTCATTGAGCAAAGTAAACATTATTAAAGTCTACAGGAAAAAAGCCTTATTGCTTTTTGCCCAGTTTTGTTTCATTCCAAGCAGCTGGACTCATTTTGTAGAAGTATAAAGAAATTATATAAAACTCATATTTAAAAATGTAAATGTAAATGTGCACCTTATTTATCCCTGTAGGGAACTTTGTCCTCTGCATTTGACCCATCCTGATGCCACTATAGGTGTCTGTCAGGAGCTGTGGTCGCCGTAGTACATTATTCTGAGCATATTATTTGAAAATATCTGCATGATCAAAAAAGTCACAGATACAAACAATGGACTAGACTAGACTGGACAAAGACTTTCAACAAAACCTTGATCCTTGGTTTTAGTTCTGTTGTTTCACTGTCCTTCTAGCCCAAATGTTTACTGTCTCTATGGGTAATGTTAAAGAATGAGAAGATGCAGTTTATTATGTTCATCCAGGATCTAAACAGTGTGTGCAAAGGAAAATAGTGAGTGGAATGTCATTGTTTTGTATTCGTTTTGTCAGTGCAGCTCTTTGGTGAATGTGTTATATAAAAACATTTCCCTTGACAATAGTTTGCATGTAATGACACAAGAAGATGTCTGTAACAGGAAACAGAAAAGCCACGAGATCAGGCGATAAGAACGTTTATCGAAACACAGGCCACACTTAAAGCTCGGGTATGTAACTTTGGAAACACACAAATATATGAATAATAAATAATCCATGTCTCTAGCTCCTGGTTCTTAAACAAATTGTTTTCACATCATTTGACAGCCGTTTTTTCCAGAAAGAAAAATGAGAGGAGGCCAGAATGAGACCAGAGAGAGACTACAGAGAGACCAGGGAAAAAGACCATGCTGAGAGAGACTAGCGAGAGACCAGGGAAAGAGACTTGTCTGCTCACTCAATAACAAAATGGACGAACTCGCCCTGCTGATGAGAAGAAACTGAGACTTGTCCTTGTCCAGTATTCTCTGCTTTACGGAGACGTGGCTCATGGACGTGGAGCCCGGACCATGCACTGAAGCTGGAGCCCACATTCATTTCAATGCAAAGCAAAGCCTACTTAATAGAAATGATATAATGTTTGTCATGCGACAATATCCCGTTGCCCCCCCTCGCGTGGTGCGCCACCTCCCTTCCTTCACTGTGGCAAAGTAAGTATGTGTTTATTTCAAACTTATATTTTCATACAGCAGGACAAGAAACCAAAAACATTCACTTTGAAAAATACAGTTTAAAAAGGGGTTGGACGAAGCAAATACTTATTGGGCTCCAACCCCCCCATTCACATAAACAAACACACGCACACACAGACACACACACACACAGACAAGTACATTGCAATATACTAGAATTTATATTGCGATACATTCTTAAATATATGAGAATAGATAAAATATATAGCAATACATGACTGGACAACATATTGCCATGTATTGATTAATATATTTTAGAATGTATTGCTGTGCAAACAAACCCTGTATCACATTATTGCAGGTATGTTTATTGTAACAAAGTATTTTTTTTATGAGTTAAGCAAGATCCAGGCTCCAAATCACATTTAGCATGACATTCATAATATTTGACATTATAAAGCCATATGGATAGACTATATATGGCAATGTATCGATTCATATATGGTCAAATGTAAGTGGCAGAATATTCTAAAAGAAATCCTTACAACAAAAAGTACAAGAGTCCACTTTTTATTTCTCCACATGACATTTCATGCTCAACATTTATTTTCTCATTACATTTCAGTCCTCCACACTGGATCGTGGAGGAATACATGCATAAAGGTTGGCATAATGTGGCAGATCAACTAACAAACATTTCCTATTGAATTTCATCACATCAAAAACCTGTTTCCTGCCTTGTAACACTCTTTTCAAGCCAACCACATTTTCTAAATTTCCAACTGAACTGTGGGATTTGTCATCGTCTTCCAACAGCAAAACATTTTCTGTTATCAAATCTCTCTACCACAATATAATAATACACAGTGATTATGTGTCCATTGTCCAACAATACAGTGAAGCTGTTCCTTTTCATTACTCTGGTGAATTGCTCCGAGTAATACAGGTGTCCTTTGACCAAAATCCTGCTGAATATTTTCACAACTGTATCAATGGTGACTGAAAATGTCTCTCTCATAGCCAGTACCTCTTCGTTCGTAAGTTTTCGTACAAAGTGTAGACCAAGGGTCACAACTTGATCTGCAACTCTTTCAAACTGTTTCAGCTTGTTTTCACCGGTCAAAGTGTTATACAGCTGTATACATTTAGGCATAGCATTTCGAAGTGCATTGTTTTTCAAAAGAGGCAACACTTGTCGATATGTGAATTGTTTCATTATTTGTTGGGGAACACACTGTGTGCCATGAAACATCTTCAGTATATCCCCATTAAAAGACTCAAAAATATATCCTGAATGTGCCCACAAAGGTCCCCAATTTCTCACAGAGTCTGGCAAATGAAGACATAAATGTACATTAAACGACACATTTTCCTTTCCATACAGTGTTTCAAACTGTTTGACAAACTCAACAACCAGCTTTTCACATCTTTTTAACCCCTCTGATGAGACCGTGTCCTTACATACAGTAGCAAATTCATGAGGGTGACAAGGATTAACCAGTGCTGGTAAAATGCGTGAGGGAGTATTCCCTTTAGCACAAAGATACTATAAAAGAGTAACCAGTTCTGCCATTCACTGGCTTTCCAAAACTTTGCTGAAAAGAGCAGGGCACTCTTGTGATATTGCAAGGTGGTTTGATTCTCATGAGCTGATGGTCGAGCTCAAGAATACGAGTACCGATATAGTATGGCTCCCCATGGTGTTCACTATCCAGCTATATGCTTGTCATTTGCCTAACAACTTCAAGATGTGTATTATGCATATGGTCAGGAGGCATACCTGACATGAGGTCAAAGTGTGGGATGTTGACAAGACATGTGACCCCTTTAATGCCTCTCACAGATTAGTTGGAGCCCACAGCCTCCCTTGCATCAGTTAGTTATCTCTTTTTGGAACATAGTATGGGTATGGATATAGTAAGTAAGTAAGCTTTATTTATATACCGCCTTTCACAGACCAGAGTCACAAAGCGGTTTACAATTGTTATTTTTTGGGCACTTGTCCTCTCACTCCACACAGAGATGGGAGCGGGGTCGCCGAACAGGAGGCGCATGCCAGAACTATTGTACATATTTTTAGTGGTAGGGGAAACCGGAGTACCCGGAGGAAACCTACGCAGACACGGGGAGAACATGCAAACTCCACTCAGGGATATACCCTAACGGTTCCATTTCCCTTTGGAACTTGTTCACCTGGATGTAGGCAGAGGCTGCACCCATAATGGCCATTAAATTGGGTCATATTTTGCATAATGGGCCTGGCAACTGAATCACACATCATAACAGCTGCTATCACTCTACAGTTATTCACAGTGTTGTTTCTGTGTAACTTGAAGCCAACAGTTGACAACGACTGACACTCTTTTGTGAATGGTTTCAAAAATGTATTAACATTTGGCTTTATAGCACCAAACCATAGGCCAAAAAGTAAAACATGCTCTTTACGGACATGATAAGGAAGCTCATTTACCATCCCTTGCAATGGCCAAATTGCATACCGAGATGATTTGAATACTGGAACTCCATCACAATTTAATGTTAAGGAGAATGCATTTGGACTATCTAGTGGGCCACCATCTTTCTTCAGATTATGATACATTTCACCACAACATATGTCATCATAACTTTCTGAATTACATGTGACATTTCCTGACTGAAGACAACATGCAATATCTTCTCTTTGGAGAAGATGTTCCAGTTGTGTTTGGATGGGCAAGTACAGGAAGAAATTGCCATTCTTCTGTGAGCTGTTTCTATCCCATGTAGTGTTACATACAGAACACTGCCCTTCAGTGATTTGGTCACCAATGTAATATCCACAGTTAGGACAATATATGTGACATTCTAGGTGGCCTTGCATTGGTTTAAGCTCTTTTAGGAACAGATGCTTTGAAGTTAGAACCTTTTCTGGACAGTGGATATTAATCAAATCTAAAAGATCAGTAAGGGCCACACCAGTGAGTGAGTGTCTCAAAGCAAATGAAAGTATAAGTAAAAAACTCTGAGCTTTTGTCAGTTGTGAGCCTGTGTAAAGTGGCTCATCATTTACTGGAGGAAGCCTTTCATTAAAGAGCGACTAAACACCAAATCAACTTTTTTTAACTCATAAACTGCATAAATATGTTTATTGTAGTGCTGTCTACATATCCTGGTCATTTTTTTGACATTTTAGTTCAAATTAGATAAAATATCACTTTTGAGCCAAAAAACGCTGTGTGGTGCCCTCTCAACCTTTTTGGTGGTACTACATTTGAATTTGGTTCTGGCCTCTCCATTGACTCTGAAGTTCTCTATGACATCAGTTGTTTTGTGTGACGTCAGTCTGTCAGAGCCAGTGATGTGAACCCATTCAACTCTCACACACGCCCCAGCTGCAGTTTGGAGTATTCTGGCGCCATCTAGTGGATTAAAATTAAATTACATGAGTCATTCTGAGATTAATGAGTGTGATTAGGTTCAGGTGTGGAGCTTTACAATTATCTTAGTGTGTAAACAAGGGTGGAATGAGACTTTCTGGTCTCTAAACTATTGCTTTAAGCAGCAATGACAACTGTCTGTTTTTTTTGTGTGTGACAAGTGAGCTGTCAATCACAGCCCAGACCACGCCCAACTCTAAGCCCCCCTTCTTGTCCCTTGGTCCTCCAGGCAACGCCCTTTTAAGAGAACATTTTCAAATCTTCATGTGGGCGGAGCAAGGCTGGGCAAAGGTGTTTAGTCGCTCTTTAACGTCTA